TCGTGCGTCCCGCCAACTCCCGCGCGCTGCCTGCCCGTCGTGCGCCCGCGTGCACCCAGCGTTGCCCCGCGTGCGTTCCTTGCCCATGGCGCGCTATTGCCGCTAGTTGCCCAATTGTGCGCACCAAGGGCCGATGCGCACCCTTTGCGTTTTGGCTTCTCACTAGCCTTGCCAATGCTAACTTCCACTTCCGTATCAGGGTGGTGCGCCGCGGGATGGCCGGAGGGGCGCCACCGGAAATCCGGAATTCGAAAACACAGAGCAGCTGAGCAGAGAGGCATGGAGCCATGAAGGGAAAGCTGGATCGGAGAAAATTTGTGTTTGTGTTTGGTGTTGTCGTGAAATTTTTGTTAAAGGCAAATTCGACCCTCCCCGAAACGGGATCCTGGTTTCGCCACTGGTGTTATATGTATTACACATTTGCCCCTATGAAATTGCACAATATTGGTCGAGACCAGCTATATTAAAATTTTCAGATCGAGAATTTATATTTATGTTTAGTTATCTATTTTTACTTTTAAAATTTCGGATATATAACATTTTTTAGTTAAAAGTATGAAGTTTTAAATGTGTAAGTGGACATAATTTATTAATTTTATTAAAAAAAAAACCCACAATTTTTGTTGTGGATGTCCTCTGTCAATAGTGTACATCCCACGCAACATTAATGTGCGTATATATTATTGTGCGAATCAATTATAATTCAACATAATTTCATAATTTCATAAGTCCCTAAACATATATACATCACCACCAACTCATAACCAAAACAAACTTTTAAAAATTACAATTAACACCCTAACATTTATCAAATTTTCAATGAAAAGTCCCTCAAATTGTGAATGCAAATCACTTTCCCCGACCACAACAATTACCACCGACGGTTTCCCGACAAACTCATGCACAATATCTGTCTTGGCCCGAATTCGAACACAATAGACCTAGAAATGACAAAAATCAGGTCGAAAACATCCAAAACGCAGCAGTTCAGTTGCGTCGCCTCGCCGGTCAGGCGTCTCTTCTCCGTTGACGTCTCGTCGCGTTGCGTCGTCTCCGTCCGCCGAACAGCCTCCGTCTGCCGCCGCGTCGCGTAGCCTCTGCCAGCCGCTTCGCCTTTGTCTACCATCGCATCTGTCAGCCGCCGCATCGTCTTGCCTTCGTCCACCGCCTCCACGTCGACTCGTCTCCAACAGCCGCCACGTCGCCTCGCCGTCGACCTCCTCTGTGTCTCATCGACTACACCCGCCGCCGTGACGACTCGCCTCCATTTGCCTTTTCATCGAAACAGTGAAACATGCGGCGGCGAACGGCGGTCCGACAAAAATGTGAAAAGTGTGGTGACAGATCTGATTTGTGTGTGTGTGGGTGAAAAGTGGGTAATGACGGGTGGGTGGGTGAATGGGTGAGATAAGAGCATCTTTAATAATAACTCCCCATAAACCTCATTTTACACATCCCAATATACCACATCATTCAAAACCCCAATCTTACTCCTACATACATAAACCTCCAATAACAATAAAATTCATAAACCTCTTTTTTATTGGTCCCACATATTTTTCACTTTTTTTTCTTTAATAGTACTATAATACTCTTATAATTTTATTAAAGAATAAAAAATAAGATTAAAATAGAAAAAGTTGAGAGATTGTTACAAATGTGGGGCCACATAAGAGGTTTGTGAGAGGTTTAGATTTGCAAACCTCACGTAAAACCTTAAACCTCAAACCTTGTCCATTTAATAATAAAACCTGTAGGAGTATGTTTGTAAACCTGAAGCAAAACCCATTGTTAAAGTTGCCCTAACGGTAAGTGGGAGGTGGTGGATCCACATGGTGATGATATGTTTATGACAAATGTCTAATTTAACCTTATTTATTAGTCAAATCTATTTAGTTGACCATGATAAGTTTATTTATTTAACATATTGTCATTAATGATTAACTATTATTCATTAAAGTTTAACTTGATCATGTTTATTAATATGATGTATTAATGATTCAGATTCATTCTCATTTTTTTCATTGTGCTCTTTTCTCATTTGATCGTAATTATATATAT